GAACATTTTTGGCTTATAAACTAAAATTTTAATTTTTTTGGAGTTTCCTCTCTTTCTATTGCAAAGACCCCATATGTCAAACTCGCTTAACTATTTGACAAAATGCATTTTTTGATAGTAAGTAAGGATATATTTCATAAACTACTTATAACAATGGTTATAGTAACTTGCAAAGGTTGTTTATTAGTTTGTTGTTACCATTCTTTTAATATATTAATAGTTTTTATTACATTAACATGACTGGCATTAGCAGCATGGTTATGATCCGAAGTTTTTTGAAGATAATGCTGATTTTCAATCAATTTAGTAGCAGCTCTTCCATAGGATTTCAATAAGTTTCATTTTTCACAATACCAATAATATAAATTTCCTCTGTTTCTATCTTTAACCCATGAACATTAAGTTTAACTTTATTATTAGTAAAAAAACAGCTTCGCAAATAATATTATTCATTAGAAAATTTTAAAGAAAAGAGATAAGAAAAAAAATTGTTATTGATCGCGTATGTAATAATACATAAAATAATTTTAACTTTATTTAGAATGTAACATTTCAAATACATTAAATAAAACTAGTAATATTTTGCATTGTATTTTACAATAAATAGTATTTCATATTGTATTTATCATCTGATTATCAAATAGTGTATGTGAATTTGAATTTTCTTAATCGACAATTGTCATATGAATTTCCCATAGAAAAAAAAATAATTTGATTGTATTGTCGGTAAAATGACAGTAGTGGTGGTGTTATCGGCATTTCGGAACGTCAACTCTGGAAGAATGGAGATAAAATTCTTCTTAAATGAACATAAATAATTTTTTTATTTTTTTTTTTGTTTTGAACTCGATTTTAAGTCAAATCATTAAAAGTAATTCGATATTGTATTGTTAATAATGATGGGTTGTATGAATTCCGAGCATGACTTTCAAAAAAAGCGGCAACGTATCAATGAATCGAGATATTCGAGAATGTTTGTTGTTTTAATAACGATAATGCAAGCTATTTTATTGATTGTCCTGCACATCCGAATGATGTTTCGCAATTTTTAAATTATATCTTTGATACAACAGTTCCATTTTGTACCTGATATCAATGATGAGCAATGTAACTTGGATAATATAAACGTTAGAAGGAGACTTTATAGCAGTGATTTTTTCTTTTGCTTTAGCCAGCGAAGCAAGGTGTATGACGAGATTCCAAGTTTCTTAGTTACTTTAAATGCAGAAAAATACATAAAAGAAAAAGACAAAAAAGGAAAGATTAGTTTACGATTTTAAATCTTTTTTTCAAATTAACCTTTTTTGACTTTTTCTCTTATTCTTGTAACAATAAAATAATGTACCGTTTTGAATAGACTCTACATTGATATATAGAAAAAGCATTACTAAGCAGATATTACGATTGTAAATTACGAAATAAAAATTTACTATACGATAGTCGCGGTATTAGGTCATCCGAGACGCAGCACGATTTGCGACTAACAACGGTTGCATACTGATTTTTTACCCAAAATAATTTACAAACTCCCTGAAAAATAAAAAGTCACAAATAGAAAAGCTAAATTTATTAATAAATTAAGCAGTACTTTAATATAGTTAGCTTGCTATGTGAAAATTTTGAAATTTTTTTTATTATTAACTTCTACAAATGGATGGTTGAAGAAAAAAATAAAATGCTCGTTTGTTTGCGTGCTGTTTTTTGTAAATATTTCATAATTTGAATAATTTGAAATTATTTATTCATATAAAATCAAATCCCAACATTTTGTTTTTTTTAATAAATAATTGTTATCACTACACATTTCGGTTTATTTTAACCATACTTATAAGCCAATTTATTTTTAAAATCTTTTCCCTTCTGATATTTATTATACTTGCTAAAATCTTTTCTTTTCTTTTCTTTAATTTCCTTCTTTGTAGCCTTAACATAATATTTCTTTTTTGGCTCACCCGAATTTACACGACGACGTCTTCTAGGTTGTAGTAACTCATCGTCATTATAGATCCTAGGTAATAAAGGTAATGGCCAATAGTAAGAAGGAAGAGAAGGAAGGAAATAATCATGATGATAATCAAAGAAAAAAGAAAGGGTATTCTCCCTTTCTTTCAATTCTTTCAATTCTTGTTTATCTTTAGCATATTTCATTATAGAATCAAACGTATTTTTTTTATCATCTAACCAAGATTGTAAATTCGAACGATTATGAGAAAATACCGTATATTGATCATATTCAAAATCTAATTGTTCCTTCCAATAATATTTGTCACCATATTCATTAATAAATGGCATAATTTTAATTAGTTCTA